AAGGGAAGGCCAGAGCTGTTTTCCTCCCACAGACATCCACTTTAAATGTGTACCAACAATTTATTGTCATTGAAAAGCGTAACAAGTTGAGAAAGTGGCATATACAAACAGTTGGAACAAAATAGTACCAATGCATTTATCAATACAGAGGTGCAAAATCCCAGCAAAGCTCCTACACCCTGTGGTGTCTGGAAGCACCATCAGCTCTGTCTGTGCACCCCAGTGCTGAGCAAGGAGGGACTGTGAGTGTGGGGTCTTTTTTTTTTCTTTTTTTCTTTTTAAGCTTTGAAAAATACATACCCTGGTCACATCAGAAAGCTTGACAGGCTGCACTGAGGACGTAAAAAAAAATGACAAATGGCTTCAGCATTACCCATCAAGATTAAGACAGAAGGACCTTCAGTCCAAGTGCAGCTGCACCAGGCTGCTGAGGCAGCAAACCCAGCCCTGCACTGTTTGGCACTGAGGTTGGGCCTTTACCTGCCACAAAAAAAAATAATAAAAAATGAACTGCAGAAGTAAGGACTTTCAAGGGTTAGCAGCATAAAATAAAGACTCGAGGCAGAGCTACTTAATGAGCAAGTGAAAAATGCAAAGGTTTGTTTTGTGTGATTATTTTTTTTTAAACCCAGCCCCCCAGAGAGGGGCAGGCCCAGGGTGCTGGGCAGAGGTTGGGCTGTGCCCTCACCCCCAGGGGCTGCTGTGGGTCACAGGGTGGGGTGAGCCTCCCCCCCCCAACACACACATACCTGGGCAGGTGAGGGAGCACTTCTGGGAAGCACTGCTGCATGCAAAGGCAGCACGTGGCAAAAAGAGCAAAACCAACACCCCACAGAACCCAGGGCCAGGCTGCTCTGCCCACACAGGCTTTGGAGCCCAGAGAGTTTCAAACAGTAAGTTGCCTGGAAAATGGCAGGAAGAGCAGCATTAAATCTGAGGAGCACCTCAGCTTTGCTTCTGCTCTGCCTGAATCCTCCAGACTCTGTAAGTCAGAGAAAGGCAGTCGATTTTCTCCCCTTCCAGTTGCCTTTGGGAACCATCCAGCGCCTGGCAGTGGTGCCTGCAGCCCTGCCCGACATGCACCAGGCCCTGCTTTGCCACAGATACTTGACACACATCTAGTTACAAACTGGAAATTACTTATTTCAAGGAAAAGCTGTGGATTCTTGGCCTCAAAGCAGACAAATGCTACTTTGCTGTCCAAGTGTCACCAATCCAAACTGACTGTCCTAGTGCAAGGCAGCACACAGAGCATGTCACTTGTAACAAACATTTATTGAAAACAACAGTGGCTCTGGTTATACATTTGGTATCTCTCCAGTCCAGGATTAAGAGAAATATTAAAAATATAAAGGCTGTAAATGCAGAACTCTTAATCCTGGAAGAAGTATGATTGGAAAAAAAAAAAAAAAAAACCCCGTGGTCATAAAAAAACCACCAAAACACCCCACTATCAAGACTTTACCTTTTAACTTCCTCAGTCTGAGGACTGGAGAAGGCTCAGCGGTCCCTCCTCAGTGTTTTATTGCTCTCAGCTGGTAGAGCCACCTCAAGCTCACCAGGCTGCTCTGCTCAGGCAGCTCCAGCCCCTGGGGGGCAAGTGGCTCGGGCAGCTCCAGCCCCTGCTCCAGGGCAGGGTCAGAGCCCCGACACGCAGCCCCTCGCAGCGCCGGCCTCGCCTGTCGCACAGGCTGGGTCCTCTCGGGGTCCCCGTCACCCCCGCAGCAGGAAGGATGTGTCTGAAGTTAAGGCAGCAATGCCCAGCGGTGCCAAGAGGGCTCTGCCCGGGCCCCCCGAGGCAGGAGGGGTCTCTGGGGCTCAGTACACGCGCTTCTTCTTCAGCGCGGACTCTGCGAAGCGCGGCGGGGGCTGCGGGCCCAGGAGCTCCGCGGGGCCCGGGTCTGGGGAGGGAGCGAGGAAGGACGCGCCGCGCTTCTCGCTTCTGCTCGGAGCCACCTGAGGACGAGAAGGAGCCAAGTGACACATGAGCCAGAGCAAGCGGTGGCAATAAATAGAAGCTTCAGGCTGGGAATTACCAAGGACCAGGAGCCAGTAACCGACTCCAAAGGGCCGACTCCTCGGGGGGAAGGCCCAGCTATTCACAGCTCATGAGTCAGTTCGTGCCCTTTCCCTAAAACCCCCTCTGCAAATACCTCAGGGCCCCACCACACATGCCCTTCTGTGAGGGCACAGGGCTGGGTGGCCCTGCTCCACAGGGCACGTCCACAAAGCAGGGGTGTGATGGCCACGCTGCTCCCTGCAGTGTCACAGCAGCTCCAGCCACCTTCATCCTTCCAGCCAGGCACCAGTGGGCCACCTTTCATCCCTCCTCCTTTCCTCTTGGGAGAGCTGGAAGGGTGGAAGTGTCCTGGCACAGCTCTCGTGGCAAGCCAGGTGCTGAAGGACTTGGGTTTCCAGCCATGCCAAAGCAGGTCTGTGTTGTGGGTAACCATGAGTTTACAGGTGGCACCGACATGAAGGAGAGAGCAGTAATGGTTCTTTAATCAAAACTTCAATGAAAATGCCTCACTCTGATACACAGAACAGTCCTGTGGGTCCCAGAGAGGTGTTTCTGGCACAGGTGACCTAACTCTGCTCCAGTGCCAAGGGCTCCTTGGGATGCATGAGGCTCAGCTCCTCTTTGTGATCCATCACAGGGCTTTGCACTATCCATGGACCTACAGCACTAGAAGCTGAACATACACATTAGAGCCCAAGGCCCTAATCAATGACTCTTGATCACTTCCCTTTCCCCTAATGTATCATTAATTTCATGACCAAAGAGCTTAAACAGTCACCTTGTTTGAAAAGACAGCAGCATCTGCCCTGAGCCCTGATCTCACCCCATCCTGCTCAGCCACTCCACGTGTCCTGCATTAGGTCTGGCTCCTGATCAGAATATCTGGGGTTTTGGTTCATGCTGGACTGATTATTTTATAAACTTGAACATGTTTCACCAACCAGGACTGCAAATCCTTAACTCAACCGAAACAACCTCAGGAGCATCCCTTGCTAATTCAGATCACCTTCTGTTAAGGCAGATTTCATGGTTACCATGCACTTGTGGTTATCAGAAGCAGGAATCCCCTGGAAGGACTTCTTGTCTTCTCCCCTCCTCTCTCCTATCCCTGCCAGCCATGGGGATGCCTCCTCTGAAGTCCAGGAAAGCGAGAAGTACCTCCTTGCAGAGACAAACTCTGCCTCAGTTTAGTGGCTGCCAAGGGACCAAGCTGCCTTGCTGCCTTTTATGGCATCTAGCATCCAACTCCCAGGCAAGCTGCTCAACATCACCTCCAGAGACAAGCCCTCCTCTTCAGGCTGGAAACAAACTCAAGGTGTCAGCTCAAACCCATGTCTCCTCCTCTTGTCACAATTTTACTTGTTTTCAGCCAAATCTGTCAGGAACAGAGGGCTGCTCCCTGCACAGAGCTGGAGATTTCACAGCCCATAGTGACCTGCCCAGGTCTTGGCCATCTTTACCCCAGGAGGCGTCAAAGCCAGATCCAGCCAGGCCTTGTCTCCTGTCCAGGAGTCACCAATTGCTACAGTTGTTTCTTTCCTCTCCATCTCCTCCAAAACCCAGGAATCTCATGCCAAGTCAGAAATGTGACCTTCTGAATGCCAGAACATCATGTGCTGAATCTGGCTACTAACCCTGCACAGGAAAGGGATGAAGGCTGGGCTGGAGGAGAGCTGTGCAGTGCCCTCAGCCCTCCCAGATCCCTCTGCTGGCCTGAGGCTCCTCTCAGGATGGCTGGACACGGAGCAGAGGGCCAGGAGCTGAGCTGGAGGCTGCAGAGCCAGCTGGGCCTCCCTCCAGCAGCTCCCAGAGTTTAGCAGAGCTCTCACGGCTGGAGCTGGACTCACAGAGGGGGCAGCTCGTTAGGCTGATGGAGACACTTCCCTGCAGATGACAATCTGGCTTTTAAGGGCTCTCCCATCCCTAAAACAGGATTTGCCTATGGCACGAGGGTATGAATTCCTCAGGACCTCTACAGCACTCAGGAAAACAGAAGACCTAAGATCACAGTGAACAAAGCTTTTATCTCCACTGTCTCAGCCTGTGTTGAACTGGCCTCCTATCAGTCCAGCCTCCCTTAAGCTGGTCCTCATGGCTTCCACAGCATCTCCCTACCCCTCCTGCATCTTCTGTTGATGTAACTAAGCACCGGCTGGGTCCAACAGATGAAGGAAGCTTTGCTCAATGAGTATGGCTGAAGCACGTTCCATCTAACATCATATATTTCAAAAGAAAACCATTTTAAATGCTTTTCCTCCCAGGATCCAGTTCAGCAGTATCACTAACTGGCTGCTCTAGGTAACCTGGACACTGCTGTGACTGCTGACTCCATTTCCAAGGTTTTATCCCGGTGGCACTCACTGTAAAACATCTGCAAGTCAGGCAAAAAAACTCCCATCTAAACCCAGTGTGACCCTCCTCCTCTTCCTTTGTTCATTTCCTACTTTATTTGCCTCCTTCAAGGCATTTTGGCACATTCACCCTCACAGATACCATCTTTCCAAGTTTGTTCATAATCATCCAGCCTTTCTTCGCCTGTGGTTTGTGGGCAGTGAGGAGCCCTGATCTTCAGGCTGCTTGAGGGCTCTGAGGGGGTCTGGTGATGGTACATGCTGCCCACGTGCTGTTTTTGTTTATCATCCACCAGGAACTGTGCATGATCCTAAGCAACTCAGCGTCCTGAGGGAGCAGGGATGCAGTGGAAAAGCTCCACCTTGGCTTGTTGTGGGTACAAAGTCCACTCGGTGGCAGCATAAGACAAGTAAGTGCTTCCACCAGCAGCTGGCTCTGCAGCTCTGCTGGGTGTCTCCTCTCACCTTATTTAAGGGGTTTTGTGGAGGAAGCTTCAAGCTGCCTGGCTGGTGTGATCCCTGGGCTCCACTGTAAAGAGCAGGCATGACCTGCAAGCAGGTACTGTAGTCTGGGTAAAATCCACCTGTAGATTCCTAAGTGCAGAATGGGATCCATGATCAACCAGGAGTTGAAAGAAAACAGGTGTAATCATTCATCTATACTTCCTATAGTAATGATAACTCAGCAGACAGGAGAATATCTGAGTCACATTCAATTGCCAAAAGGAGTGTCCAAGTCACAGCAGCTCAGGCATGCAGCAAGTTCTTGAGCAAAACTCACAATTTATACATAATTCCTTTAAAAAGAGAAATGTGCCTCTTACTGGCCATGGAACCCTTGGGCTATGTAACAGCCTGGATGAGAAACAATCCTCCAGTAGCCTCACTGGGAAATCATGCTGTGTTGTGCTGGTTCCTGGTGGGAGTGTTTTAATACACTCCTGAACCTTACAGGCAGCTTTGGATGGTGGGACCTGGGAGAGAGGAACCCTTAAGCCAGAAAGGATCAAAAGAGTGAGCAGGAATCCTGGAAAGCAACAGTGCAGGGATGCCCTGCAGAAGGTGACCATGCAGTGCCACTCATCCCACACCCTCCAGCCCCTAATTCCTCTGGTACTGACAGCAACAGCCACTCGTGGACAAACCAAGCAGGTGTCCAGACTCCAGAAGCACCCTCACAGCTGCTGGGAGAAACAGCCAATGGAGACAGGAAGGAAAGAAAATTATTTCTCACCTCAGAAGCTTCATTTTCAAATTCACCGACTCTTGCCTGGGTAGAATTACAGGCCTGAGCACAAGGCTGATACCAGTGCTGAACAGCCTCCTATAAAGGAGGAGAAAACCTCTTCCCATTAACTGTCTACTGAGGTCACTCTAAAGGAAAACAATTCTTATGGCCTCACGGGACATGAGAGTAAATAAGAAGGCAAAGCTCTTCAAGAAGCATCAAAACATGTTTAACAAGAGTTAAAAAAGCTCCAACCAAACATTTAAAATTCTGTGAAGTGCTCAGAAGATGCACAAGGCACTGCACTGCCTTGGCAGTGCATGCAAGCACAGCCTCATTTCTGTTACATGGAAGGTTCAAACACTACCAATATAGCTGAATGATGTGACATGTGGCACCTCTGCACCCAAGTGACAACATTTGAGTCCTCCATGTTACTGAAGTTAATATTCATAACACAATTCCTACAATACTATCCATTTTTTTGGGCAATATTTTCAGTACTTGGAGTCAGGAACTACCTCCAGGAGACATCAAAATGAAGTTAAAGCCAATAATAAACCAAAATATTCCAGACAACGTTAATACTCACATGAATTCCTCAGCATCAGGGCCCACAGGCCACCTCTCTTGCTTCTCTAACCCCAAACCATCACCAGCCCTGATCTGGCTAGGAGATGAGTCTGGCTCCTGGCAAAGTTGGGGCAGGGAATGCTGTGCAGCCACCCCAACCCCTCCATCCCCCTGCCCAGGCTGAGACCCTCCTAAAACTGAGCAGTCCCTATGCCCACACTTGTCCTGCAGACCCAGCTGACTCCCACAGCAGCCCTGGCTCCACCCCATGAGTTTTGGAGCAACCAGATTCCACTGCCAGCAGCCTAGGAGAGGGGAGCACAGCTCGTTTGTCTCCCTGCCTCGGCAGCAGAGATCAGGCAACTCTGGGGAGGAGGAGATGGGAGAGGCCAGGAGCAGACCCACAGCAGAGACAGGTCCCAGTGCAGATCCAAGATTTTGACACAGGTTACCTGGCAGCCCTACGATCCAGTCCTCATGTTTCATTTGTACACAGTTCTATTTCTACACGGGCCCTTGATGGCTGATGAAAATACAGACATGTTATTCCCCAGTGTCCTGATACCTGTGAAACCCAGCAGGTGCTCTCAGGACTGCCACACTCTCCAGACAAGGGGCAGCCCTCAATGGTCACACTCTGATCACCAAATGGGGCAGATGGTGAGGAAATCCTGTGCAGTCAAACCACCTGGCAGAGAGTGTAAAGATCCCCCAGGCTGTAAGGGAACCCCTGGTAGACAGATCTAGCCAAGAAAAACTTGAAAACTTCTTGGGAAGGGAATAAAGAGGAAAACTTCCTTTTTTTTAAGGCAGACAAAAGCCAAGCCAGAAGTTGTAAGAAGTGATGCTGTAGCACTGAGTCGAGGTTCTCAAGAAGGAACCTTTCCATGGTTATGACACTGCATCAGGGAGTGTACTGAGGCTTTCCCTGTCTGGCATTAGGTGCACTTTGTGCTGAATCTGTTCTGAAAGAGATGAGTGAAGAGGGCCTAGGAGGTTCAGTGTGGAGAAGAGGGTGGGCTCTGGTTGAAGGAAAGCCTAGGAACTGCTGAAGAGTTCATGATGTTGGGCAAGGCTGTTCAACTGCATGCAGGGCTCTCAGACCACATGTGAACCAAGAAGGGCACTGAGAACACACAGAGAAGAACAATGAGCAACTCAGGGTGGGATCTCTGAGCAGATGTGCCAAAAATCCTGCTACCAGAGCTATGAGTGACAAGCCAGCTTTCAGAAGGAAGGGCTGCAAAACAACCTACCTGTGTGCATTCCCCATGCTGTTGAGAGTAATTAAAATAACTTTCCATGGCATGTTGTGATGTAGTTCCCTGAGACACAGCAGCATCCACCATGTTGTTTGAAAGGCCAGTTTGCTGTGGTGGACTGGAGGCTTTGCTGGCAATTGCTGTTTGTGACACAAAGGATACATGGTTTGTATAAACACATGGTTTGCATAAACTGCCCAAATTAGGTTGCACTCTTGTTTAGCAACATTCTGAGATCAAAACAGAAATTGGATACTTCAGATTAGGCTGTGCCCAAAATCAAACAGTGCTGCTAACAACTGAGAGGCTCTCTAGAAGTTTGTCTACATCAGTAAGCCCATTAACTCTTAAAATTTCCCAAATAAATTCCCAAATAAAATATTAACTATGAGGATAGATTACACTGCCATTTTAAGACAGACTACAAGATTTCCTTAAAGATAAGTATTGTGGTCACTAGAATAATCTGCCAAACAGAATAACAGCTTGCAACTAAAACTACTAAATGTTTGCCTACCTGGAAGACAAATACCAGGCAACACACTTGCCAAGTTCAAGTAGGGGTTGGTACTCAGACGTATTTCTTTTGGTGGTTCTCCTAGGAGTGAAGTTTGTTTTTTCAAGGGAGTCTGTGAAACAATCAGACAGGTCAGTGTGCTTTATATTAACACAACATTTGTCAGAAGTAAGTGTCCCAGCAGGATTTTGGAAAAAATTGCCTTAGCCCCATGAAATCTAACAGGAAAACTTTTAAATGAAATACTGGGGACAACTACCTGGACACACTGCTTGTATTTTTTTTTTCCCCCCAAATTATTTTGTAGGAATATTTCTCTTTAGACACTAAGTTACTAAATGATATTAAAAAAAACCCTACCAAACAAAACATTTTACATTCTAATAAAGGAGTATCAAACACCATAATGACTTCAGATGCAGGGAGTTAGCATTAAATTCATGGCCAAGACAAAAATCAACTCTTCTCACCCAGAGTCACAAGCAAAAAAAGGACAAATGAACCCTGGCCTGGAGGGATGACCCTGTCTGCAACCTGCCACTATAACCCATCTCACTGATCAGGCTATTTATATGCACAGAGTTAAAAGGGGAAAATGTTTATGAGTGGAAATGAAGTGTCAGGACTGACTCACTGCTATAAAGCACAACTGTTCCCTCCAAGGGCTAGGAAGGGTTCACTGCCAGCTTAGCTCCCTTTGCCTTAGGTTAGACCAAATGCCAGAAGTAAGGATGAAGCAGCTATAGCAAGTTACCCAGCTTGTCTGAAACACACAGCCCAGAGCCATTCATACAGGATTCTACTCTACATCTGTTCATTTTTCAAAGCCCATTATGGAAAAAAAAAAATATCCATTATTTTAATGGATTAATACTATATTCAGTGACATGATATTAGCCAGCAACTCTCTAAAACCAGTGAGACCAGTTTTTAAAACAGAAAGAGCTTCAGTAGAGTGCTGAAATGCTTCATCTGGCTGCAAAAGCAGGCATTTAAGACAGCATGACCATTCAGTGTACAGACTGTGGCTGTCTTGTCAAGGAAGGGAATTTTGCAAACTGGGCCTTCTACCCACTGATGCAGAAAAAGAAACAATCAAAACATCTGCCAGGACTTCAAAAAAGAACTGATAAACACTGTTCATAGAATAAATTAATTATCTAGACTTCAAATGGTTTCATTCTAGTTCTTTTTAACTAAATTAGATGCTGAAATATAACTCTGATTTTATACACATACACAGATACAGCCTTTGTATGTTACCTGTTTCTATAAACAGGTAAAATTCCATTTAATTAAACATCATTTTGAAAATGAAAAGTGCACTTTCTGAAGCAGGACCACATCTGTCCAAGCTGTCTAGCAAGGGCAGACACCAATTCTGTACATAACCTGATCACTTCAGATGCTTCAAAAATAACTAAAGAAAACACAGATCTGATCTTAGTTAAGAACATGTTTGACATTTCATAAATGGCAAAGTATTTATGCTTATCATAAAAAAAAGTAAATTCTGTAAATGACAGGGAAAAAAATATCTGAAAAAACTAGATCATTCTAATTCAACTTCAATCCTGTAACATCATCTTCTCATCCCCTACCTTCAAGGGGAATAAATATTTAAAATTATACACTAAGAATATATCAGCTGTGGTTAAGAGGGTATGGACTAAAAGTGGAATGGAAAATTTACATACATACATATACATATATAAACACACACCCCCCACCCACCTGGAAACCCAAAGGCCCTACATGCTACCAGAATTGCTCTTCATTAGTCATGACATTCAACCACAACTCCCATTTTCAGTCTTTAAAAGGGACATTGCCCTTGAGATAATTTCATCATCAAACACTATGAGGCAGACAAATGGATAAAAAAACCCCTCCAGCATTGTAAAAAGATTCCTTTGTTAATTCATTTGGACCACCAAAGAGCATTATTGTCCTCTCCCTATTATTCATGACTGAAATGACCTTAAAATGTCTCATGTATGATCCCGTGATCTAGCAAATTTGGTAGCGAAGAACCACAATAACCAGCTGCAAGTTCACTCTTCAGCAGAAGGAAAAAGCAAACACTGGAATGCAACGCTCCTTACCCCCAGACTCGGATCAGCACTTTTGAGTTGACTCTGTTGCTTGGCATGTCCAGCCCACAGAGGTGCTGCAGGAAGGTTGGTTAAGGTCTGGAGATAGGGCTGTGATCCCGAGACCACGGCTTCGGCGGGCGACGGTTTCTCTGGCGCGTTGTTGGGCCCTGGCAGGGCCTGTCCAACAATGTGCTGATTCGGGAAGAATGGCAGGATGCCCAGCCCTGCTGCTGCTGCTGTTTGAATTGGAGGCAGATTAGATGCTGCAGTCAACCATAAATGGAGAAACTTTTCTGTTAGACAAGATTTATCAGTCCGTTTTGTTTGTGGTTTTTTACTAAGTGATGAGAAAAACACTTTTGAGATCTGTTTTACAGCTGACCCAGAACACTGGATTCTGACAATAGTTTTTATTCTTTCACCATCCCAGGAGCAAACAACTCAATTTAAACCTAATACAGTGGGAGAAAGCTCTGACTTTTCTAAACATTCACTATAATAATAAGCTACTCAGTGTTTCTTGTTACTTTCAAAAAACCTGTGAACAACATGAAAAACCCCACCTCAAATGAGTAAAATTCTTTTTACAAACCCAAGAGCTAGAAAGTATTATCCAAAATGAAAACCCAGCTGTTCAGAATAGGTTTCTCTCCACCCCTCCACCCCCACAAACTTTTTCTTGCTCCTGCTTAATACCATTTCTCAGAGCAGATCTGGAACTGCAGCATATGTGGAACTGACAAAAAAAGATGCACTAAGCAGGATCACAACTGATTTTTCCTCATAAAAACTGAGGACATCACTGGTGCAGCAACTTGCATTCAAAGCTGACATCTGTCACAGAGTGGGTGTTAAAGCTCTAATGATTTATCAAATGCAAAAGCTTAATCAAACAGATGCAAAACCCCTATTTGCTGTGCCTCTTCAGCTACTCAGGCTCATCTGCTTTGAAACAACTCCCCAAATTTGGAACTAAATAAAAACATATTCCAAGTGTACTAAAAATGGCAGTAACTGACCCACCAGAATATTTAATGATCTTCAAATATTCAACCAATGCCACAGTGTTCTCTTTGTGCCCTGACAAACAGAGAGAAGCCAGGCAACAAGGCAAGATATTTCAAGGTTGTTTCCTGCTAAAACCAGCACGTCATATTTGGTTGTACAGATACGTAACTTGTTACCTCACTTAACTAGATAGATAAACAATTGTCCAGCTCTCTGCCTACCTTCCTGTGCAATGTTAAGGTTCAAATGTATTACTGCTTTTGCTACAGGGGGAGAAAGTCAGGTGCATAATGTCAAGCTGAGCATTTCTACCGATTTGGTATGAAATAAAATATAACTTACATTTGAGAGCTTCTCCACGGGTTCCCATGCCTGAGCTCACTGATGGCACCACCCCTATTCCCAGCACTGTCTGGAACAGCATCGTTGGAGGTTCTCCCAGCAAACCTGGCTTCTGTAAGGAAGAAGGGAAAGCTCTGTAAACAATTAAAATAGAATCATCATTTTAACTAATTAAATAATCTGTAGGTTGCTTAGAACTTTCACATTCATTTAATCTTTTCAGAGATACTAAACTGTTACATTATACGAGACAAAGAAAATAATTTCTCAGTTACAAGAATGTCCAGAGACAGTCACAGTGATGACCTTACACTATTAGCCTGGATGTTTTCAATCTTCATCAGCTGCTGCTGGGGCAATGGGAGGTGAGCAGGGCTCTGCAGCAGTAAATTAGATGTGCTCCCCAGAATTGAACTCTGTGAAATTAATAAAAGAAGTGTTAGTTGACAGTCATGGAAACAGTACATTCCTGAAACATTTTCAGGTTATGCTGCTGAAAGAAATGGAGGTTAGTTTCTGGTTAATACAGCAAAGGAAAATAACTATGTCCTCTTCAGAATAGAATTTTTGCTTCATTCATAGAAGGTTATTTCAATTTCTTTTACCCTCTCTTCCTCCTAGCCCTTTTTTTCACCTCACAACCACGAGTATGTTTTCTGGTAATAAAATCCTCTGGGTTAATAAAGATTTGATAAAACTGCTGGGTGACTCGGGAAAACACACCATTGAGCAAGTTTAAAATACATTATTTTGCCACTTGGTAACTGTAACTAAGAGAAATTAAAGGGAAGAAGTTGAAAGTTGTGCTCCCTCCAGAGCTGAAAGGCCACTATATGAATAACTCATTTGTTCAAATTCTTCTCTTGAATCTTTTCTTATCAATTACTGTATAATGTTGTGGCATAATCAACCTAAAAATACTGTTTCTTCATATTCTATTACTTTACATAATCTTGAATATAAAATAGCAAAACCAAGATAGGCAGGAAGCTGGATCAGTGTGTGACTGGGGAGGCTGGGAGAGTCGAGCCAGATGCTCCCTGTTCCTCTGTCTTGTGACAATCCTGAATTTCAAGACAATGAAAATAGTGACCTGGTCCTCTAGCTTTAGAGAATACTCTGAAGTAAGTCACTGAATAACAGAAAAATGTGCCTAATAGGGATAATCAAATCACTGTCAATAAAATTCAGGCTATTAGACCAGGTTTGGAGCTAATTAAATGACAGGAAGCTCTCTGGAAGAGACTTAGACTTGTAAGGCTCTTGAAAGAGAAAACACTCTGTTGTTTGACTGCAGCCCTCTTGAGCCAAAAAACATTGGATCATCATCAATCCCACTGCTAACTGTGTAAAACATGCCTGACTCCAGCTGTGATTAGAAAACATTCACATTGCCTTCCAAGGAAGCACAGACTCTCCAAGGCTGAAGAGAGAGCAGCAGTGAATAAATATACCAATTGAAAATGTCATTTAAATTAAAGAAGTACAAGCAAAGAACAATGGATTTTTATCCCTGGACAAGGCAAAAAGCAACTCACTTGCTGGGGCAAAATTAAGTAGCATTTATTAAAAATTATTATATTCACCTATAAGTTTGCAGAAAAAAAATAACAGAAAACCTAGAGTGTACTTAACATAAGGAGTATCTTGGTCTTTTTAAATATCCACAAGTCCCTGATTGCCAAAAGAAAAGCAGAAATAACAACTAACACTTAAGGGGATTTGATTTTTTAAACAGGAATTTCTGAAACATCAGAGAGAGTAAGTCAAAGCAATTGACTCCAGACCCTCCCAGGTACTTACAAAAATCCCTGCCATGAATATTAAAAGACAAATTTTGGCTGCTGGCAGAGCTGTAAAAATCTCTGACAGAGCCTCAGCAGGAGGCAGAGGCCAGGCAGGCTGCTGGCCAAGGTCAGGGAGGAGTTCTGGTTGGGGGTGCTACTCCAAAATATTCTCATCTCCAATTTCTAGGGCAAATTCATCCCAAATATCCTTCACAATATCTTCCAGAAATTCCAGTGTCCATCTGGAATTATGTATACTCTGAGATACCACTTTACACAGCTTATAACCTTCAGGGTTTTTTGACTAAGAAGTAACATCTGCAAATCACTATATTTTATGGCACGTGTAGCATACACTGGTCCCTGCAAGCTTTAAAATGAAGGTAACACTGCTAAGCTTGTTGGCTTCAATAAGATAAAACAATCAAGTCTCTACAGGAAGTGTGTATGAGTAGCCCCAAGATAAATGGATGTGCTCCTTCAGCTCTAATCTAAAGAGCGGGTTTTTTGCCAGGAATGGCAAGTTGTCTCTGCACCAGCAGGTGTTAGGAAATCAAAAGCTCAGTTAAGGTAAAATAACTCACTTGTGGATAGCAAGCCCAGCCTGCTCTCACACCCTCAGAGGTACCTCACAACACAGTGCTTTTTTTAAAGATGGCTTGAATGAGAACACTTGATTTTAGCTGTCATTTCTTAAAACTTTGAGAACGTTTTTCATGCTAAGATCTCCACAACTATCTATTTTGACAAATGTTATTTTGCCACGTACCTGATGAACTTTATTCAGCTGCAAAAAAGGTGGGCCAACTGCTGAGTTTATAAGGTGAGGTAAACCTGCAGATGCTCCAAGAACTGCTTCAGAAACACAAGAAAAAGTTGCAGCGTTTTATAAGTTAGACAAGTAAAAATCTTTATAGGAGTTACTCTGTATTTTTTAGATTTGGTTCCATGAAACTGCCCAGCGTACTAAAGCTCACTCCAATGAAATCTTTCAATATACCCAGCTTTGATCTGCAGTTAACAAAATGAGAGATCAAAGGTACTCTGAAGGTGCTCCTCTGAAGTTGAGTTTCATATAAAAAAGCAGCAGTGCCTGCAGCTGATTGCAAGACCACAGCATTATCTGAAGTGCTTGGAAACATCAGCATTAGCTCAAGTGTTTCTTCACTAAAGTGGTCACTCCACACACAAGTTCTGTGTTTCTTCTGTCGGTAGGTCATGTCACAAACTCCTGTCTCCCACTTGACTCTTCAACTAATACTTTCACCATTTGGAATGTGGTAAGGTTGTGGGTTTTTTTATGTTTATATGTTTCCATCCTAATGAGGAGACAGGGAAATGCAGTTAGGAAATACCATGTACAACTGTGGCAGCATCCAAGTGAGTATTTGCATTGGAATCAACAGGAGAAAGACTCAGGTTACAAAACTGAGAAGCAGAATTGGATTTAAACTTGCCATTTTCATGATGTCTGCAAAAGACATTTAATTTTAAACCCATTTCTGATATAAACATTCAGAGACCACAAAGTTAATATGAGGACAGTTTTAAGTAACACAAGGGCGTGGCAATCCACCTCCTGCTTTTGTTCTCATACAACATGGAATCATCTACACAAACACACTGCAAGAGGGCACAGGTTTTAAAATGGTATCCCTGCTCTCCTCCTTTGCTGAAGGCCTTTTGTCACCAAGAACAGGTTTAAAACAACTACCTGAAAACAACTTACCAGGTTTAACAGCGTGTCCACGCAACTGGGGCTGCAGGAGCATTTGCAACATTGCTGGGTTATTAAAACTTTTCATAATCTGCACTGGATTTGGCTCTGGAAGCAAGCCTTTCCTGTTGTTTCTCATCTCCAATTAAGAGAGAGAAAAATGTTAGATCAGGAGAAAACAAAGAATACATTTAAAACCCCCAAACTTGTGTGAGGGTAAAGCACAGGTATCACTTTACACAGAAAATAACCCCAACATGTCATTCCCTGTTCCCCACTCCTATCAAACTATTCCCTCAAAACTTCAAGGGTATTATTCTTCCTGAGATACATTTTTTTTTCCCTTAAACCAAGACAGTGTTATCAATAAATAAAAACATGAAAGGCACTGTTAACATGAGCACCACATACCATCTTGTAATAGCCCCACTCATCTCTTTTATAAAGCTAGCTGAAGTAATGAGACTGTTCTGCTTCTACTGTTAAGGCAGCTTCATGTAACACTTATCACATCCAATTTTCCAGGAAATAATTTGATAAGACATATGGGTGTAAAAAGCTTTCTTCTGTATCAAGCGTGAAATTAAACTATTTTTCCTACCTTGAAATTTATCTTAAAATTGATAAATTCTTGCCTCTGTGGTTTAAACCAAATTTTACCTTGTGAAATGACTCCACTTACAGTTACTTTTGTTTTGAACTGGAACAATTTACTGTACAGAAAATGAGATTTACTAAAATCCCAGAGCTATGTAAGTATAACTCTGTGATATCTGATGGGCATATTTCACCCTTCCTCCCTGCAGAATAGGACTGTGCTCTTCCTAGGAGGGAGGATGACCTGGGCTGACGAGCTTAAAAAAAAAGCTAATGCTTCCAAAAGCTTGACTCCTTTTCCTCATCCCCGAGTCCCTCTGCCCCAACTCGGGCAGCTCAAGGTGCATCAAACTGATTCAGAAAAGAGATCTGCAAACATCTTACCATCCTTTGTGCTGCTATAAGTGCTGCTAAGGTGCTTCTGCCCGGTGCTCCTGGAGCACAGAAGGACACCTGGATTCTCCTGCCTTTGATCATCATTCCATCGGTGACTTCTCGCACCTTCTCAGCCTGCTCTGCAGTTTCATACTCAACCACAGCAAAGTCACCAATACAACTATCTTCATCCTGAGCAAACTGAAACAACGTTTCACAATATGCTGAACAAAACTCGGGAACCACAGTATTTCCACCTGCCCCTTGCAAAATACTTCACCAACAGTTGACATCCTATGTTCATGTCTACCCAGTCAGCATATTTCTCTCTCAAATATGCTGGATGGAAGTTGACTATCCCAGCTTCACATGACACCTGGCATGCACACTGTGTTTACTCGATTTGCCACCTTCATTCCAAACTCTTTAACATGTATTCTCAGATGAAGGAATGAGAAGGGAATTGCAAGCACAGCTATATGCTGCAATTATCTTTATTGTGCAGGGTAAGAATGATAAACTCACTATTGCTCAGTTTTTTAAGCCTCCAATACTAAAAAACTCATCTGTCAGACTAGGTGACAGTTGTTAAAACGTGTAACAATGCAAATTCCACTGACACATACTGCCTTTTAGGAGAGTATGTGGTTGTATCTAATGCCAAGAGAAGATGCCAGACTGATCAATCAAGCAGACTGGAAACAGGCTCATGTGTCAAACAATGCTCTGTCCTTTGTTTGCAGAGTTTTATAGCAGAATGAGCAGATTTAAATCAAACAAAACAAAAAAAAAAACCAAAACAGGGTGAGATGGGAGGGAATAAAGCTTAGGCAAAAATCTCCAGTCCCAAAATGAACAGAAATTATGCACTGAGACTAGCTCTGATGGGGAAGAGAGGAAATCTCCTCTAGATTTCATAGGATAAAAACAACCTTTTCCCAACTATTAGATCCCACAAATTCAGACTAACAACTGACATATACACTGCAAAGATTGTGAAGAAAAAGAGGGTGGTCAGATCTTTGATGCCACTGTTAAAAGACTGGCCTCTGGAAGAGCTCTGGAGAACACACATATTTGATACATAAATACACACACAGATACATATATGCCCTGTAGGTATTTAGATATGTGTGTGTCTATGTGGAAAAGTATTAAGTTTTATTTTGACAACACTTTACCTGCACTGAAGCTAAACTGCTTGTTAAAAGAATGGTTTGCAGCTCTGGGACATACTGTAGTTTGATACACAGTTAAAAACCTTCTTAACAAGTAAAAATGTAGCTCTCAGTATTCTTGCAAACAGATTAGGAATTTTTAAACTTTCCAAGTACACAGGTACTGAAGAAAAGCCCTCTGTCCCTATCTAGGGAATACTGGAGACCTAGTGACAATTTAAAGTTGCCATAAGAAAGGCATGAGGTTTTCTGGTCCATTTTGTTGAATTAAAGGTCAAACCACGTTCCTGTAAGCCCAAGGAAATGCCCTTTTTTTAAAACCCATGTAGAAGTATCTGGCTTCAGCTCTTCCTGACAGAACTTTTCTACTGTCAAAAAACAGAAAAATCTAATTTATTTTTTAAAAATGGTAAATTTGGAATGAAATTAAACAAACCAGAGTTTATTTTATGAGTTCACCCAAGAACTTGAGGTGTAAGATCATATTTACATGATGAATATGGCATCAGTTACCAGCAGAACTAACTGTCATGAAAGCAGCACAACACAGCAAGGTCAAAGAAGCCACACTTGGGAGATGGGCAAAATGGTCAAGGTGACCCCACCACAGGGACAACCTGAGTGCAGGAGGAGTGGTGTGAAGGCTGGGTTGGCCAGGACTAGGAAAAGGAAGGGAGAGACTGTAGTCATGAAGAGGTAAAGTAACAAGCGTGTGAATGAACATTTTAACTGTTTTCTGAAACTTGCTCATTCTTCTAGGAGTTTTCCAGACAAAGCACTTCTCCTAGTCATCCTCTGTTGAAATTCCCTCCCCACCCAGGTCTCTCCTGCTCTGCTCTCTCTTACACCTCTACCCATCAGGTCACACACACAATTTTCCACAGTTTCTTGTCTTCTTCTCTCTCCTTTCTTTGTACTTCATTTTTAGGTCATCTCACTCACAAACCTATAATTAATTAGCACTACTGCAATGAGAATTCATCTGCCACCTTCCCTTTCTCATCTAGCAAATCTGAACTACCTGTTTACCTACCTCTGCCCTCATACCTTCCCTCTCTGGAGGGCTGATTCCCCCATTAGCCCATGGGTTTCACAAGTTATCATTAGTAAACCTATTTTTCTTCTATTATCTTAATTCTGTGACCTTCCTATTAGTCTCTTACACAGTGTGTTTATACAAGTGATAGGTAATATGAGAATGTGCCAAGAATTTTTTCTTGGATATAGTTCTGGGTGCCTATTTCCTAATTCAGAAGCACAGTGTTTAATTCCTGTTTTTTACAGAAACATATATTTAGTGCCATTTACTGACAGAATGCATATACAAACAGTCCCTCCTCACCTACACCAGGTGTGACCCATGTATCCTTCTGATTTAAGGAAGGTATAAGTAAATTTTTAAGTGCAGAGCAGAATACTGTTAAGGAAAAACTTCTTTATCAAAGCTGCCTGTTATTCTTTGAACTTCAGAATTTGAAAAGAATGTTGAAAAATGCTTAGGAGATCTGATAACAGCCTCCAGATTATCTGACAGCTGGAAAGCTGCCCTGAAGTAAAAGACTTTAAGAGATTAATCTGTTTAGCTAATTAAATAAAGACTGAGCAAGTGACTTGAATACAGCATTTCATGCTTTCTTACAGGAAGAAAACAGTGGAGAGTCAAGGCTCCCCAGTCTAGTCATCAGTGAGGTGAAGCTGAAGCCAGACACATTCAACTGAAACAAGCCCAAGTGCAAAAGAACAAGGGTTGGGCAGTTTCTGGAAAAAGCTACTTCCAACTGAGGCATCTCCTGCTGTATTTGGATCAGACAAGAATAAGGATGTACTTGGCCAGCAACAAGTTCCTGGGGCTTGAGAAGAACACTAGAGAAGATGTGATGGCCTGCAGGTGGTCAGACTCCACAGCCTGATGGACATTCTGGTCTTAGATCTTAGACCTCTGGTTACTTATCCCTGAAGCTACTCCCTGGGTAGCCTTCTGAGATACTTAAGGAAAAAGACAAAACAACTGAAATCTTACTCAGCCATGTGACTACAAAGCAAGCTTTCTGTCTCCTGCCTGTTGATGGTATGCTGGTCTTCACCACTTCTACATTTTATTTGTGGTCTGGTATCTCACAAGCCAGGAAGATGAGAAGGAAGCTCTTCTACCTGCACAAGCTGGTAAGGATCTACCTCCTCTGAACCTGCAAGCTTTCCAAAAGATGAACCTCTTCTATCATAGGCAAGCCCAGCCAACTACGAGATTCCAAGCCTACATCTTCCTCAGATAGGAGTAAAAACATTAGATATTTGCAGAGGTTTCTTAAATATATTAATTATCTACACACATTTATTCTCCATCATCTAAACCGTTGTGCCTGTGGTATTCATACACTCTGGCTTTCTTTACTGAGCAATAAAACCATCATCAGTGTTTACTTCAAAAGCTCTCTAAAATATTTCTAAAATTACTTTCAATAAAATACATGAGGAGGAGATGTCTTATAAACATTTTATTGGTGCTTCAGGGGACTGGTCTCCTGCAGGATTCCCAGATGACATGGCACAAGCACTGCAAACCCCTACCCACAAAGCATCTGTACCACATCATATGTTGCCATGCAGATGCACAATCATTCACTAATTCAATGAAAAATAACAGGGTAAGACAGCAAGCAGTGAAGATGCAAACACAGAGCTACTTAAACCATGATCTTGACCTTCCAACAGAAACAACTCCAACATACCTGGCAGAAAACCGGTTTATACTTCAGGGAGAAAGTTTGGATCAGTTCTTTTGAATCAGCGTGGTCTTTTTGAAGTTTATCTACACAAAGGCACTTGGAGTGAATAAGATTTGTCGTCAGCTGGTTCACATCCATCCACTGTGCAAAGAGAATGCTCTCGTCCAACTGCTTCCCTAGAAGTTCCAGTCTTGCCTTTGCAGCAGAGTCCTTCTTCATGTATTCCACAAAGCCATAGCCCTTGGAATGACCAGTAACTTCGTTATAGACCAAGAAACACCTCTCGACATTGCCATAGGCACGCACAAGTTCTTCAAACTCTTCTAAGGTAAATGAAACGGGCAGGTTAGTGATGCACAGCAGAGCATCTGTTGGCTGGAGCTGCACAGAGATTTCCTTTCCCCGAAGACAGTAACGGTGAAACTTCCGAATGGCGCTCTGAGCTTGGTCTCCGTTTAACAGAGTAACAAACGCTGCAAGAGACCAAAGGAAATTACATCACCTACCATAGCTTCTCTCCACAGAATCACAGAATCGTTCTGGTTGGACATCATGGATGCCCAGCCATGACCTAACTCTACCAACCATTAACCTAACTCTATCTAGTCCAATGCTTAACGCATGTCCCTAAGCCCTAGGCTGGGCACCAGGATGAGTCTTCAGTGCTGAAGGTGGCAAAGATCACCTTCAGAAAACTCAACAAGCATCTCTCTTCCACAATTCTCCTCAAACCCACACATCTCAGCAGCAAGAGCCACGCAGCCAGTCAGAGGCTGTCCACAGCCATGGGCAAAGGGATTGTTGCACCACACACCATATCTGTACCCCACCCAGGTCCCTCAGCCAGGGACAACAGGAGCACTGCAACACGCACCACCTCATGTCATGCTCCCACAGGCAGCTGGACAGAACATGCTGCCATGGACAAGGGGACCTACATGACACCCACATGATCCACAGCCCATCCTCATGCTACAGAGAGCCAGCAGATGCCCGTAGCTGAGAACAGAAGTCAGCTGCCCCATCCACAGAATTTCTGAAGACCAAACTGGAAACATCCACAGAGCTCTATCAAGTTCCGACTACATCAATTAAAAAGTCAATAAACATATCTAAGAAAAAAGCTCATGACAGCTGGAGTTCCTTGACACAACTAGTTCACATTATAATATGTAATTCCATCTTGTGGAGGCATAATTCCTCTGTTGCATCAGTAATTATGTGGGCAAGACAGTATAAGTACACACAAACACCCGAAGACACAGTCAAAACCATGAGGAGAACTTGTGCTTTTTGCACAGCAAAGCTCCTAACAGCAAAAATAATCTGCAATATAAAGGACATGGGTAGGAAAATCTTCCATGATCATTTAGTAACAAGTTAAGATTCTGTGACATTAGGGACTCCCAAGATTTAAAGCCTTCAGGAATATGGAAATAAAGTAATTTTGCTCTACCCTAACAAGGAGCCAAGAAGAAATACAGCACCTACCGTGTATTCCAGTCATGAAAATTTGCAGAAGAACATACAAAAATTCACATGAATAGGCAAAGTCCTACATATACATATATACACACCCCGCTATACATAAAAGACACATGTATGCACTCTTAAAAACAACACAAGCACACATTAAAAAGCTGGTTATATATGAAAGCATCTACATTAAACAAAAATAATTAATCCTTATGCTTTCCAAGTATTTTCAAGTATTTCCCATCACACTGAACAGAGACATTCAGGCTGTTGTTGGTCTGCAGGCTGTAGTATCTCACACACAAACTGGCCTTCTTCCATATTCAGAAATCAAATTTGCAAGATAACGGGACATTAAGACACAAAGTTTTGCTTCTTAGAGGCAGATGTCAAGAAACACCATTATCATAATGAAATCCTGACAGAAATCTATCCCAGCTGCTGCATTAACATTTCCTTCTGGAAACCAAGGTTGTCTCAGGCTGCGGGGACCTACGGAGATTTGGAAGGAGAGGAATGTGTAGAGAAATATTTGCCAATCTCTGTGCCCCAAAGGTGCTAAAAATCCATTAACCCCTATTTAGAAAATTAATTTGTAAATGGAATATGAGACTTTAATTATTCAGGATTTTATTCAGGACAACATTTCCTTCAAAGACTTGAGCATTCCTTTAATATATTGCTTCTGGTTTGTATGACCTTACACAAATGCACCTGGAGCTAGGAATGTTTTCCTCTGATCGTGTCACAGGCACACGTGGTTAGTCCCTAGAAAGGGCTCAGGACTAGTTTTTCAAAGGAAACCAGCCAGCTGAGGTTAGCTTTGTCCCAGAGAGACACTCACTAAGGGAATATGCCTGAGAGAGACCCTAGTGGATCATCTACTTCTGGCTGGTATCAGTAAAGTTTCCAGCTCTCCACTGGCTTCTGCAGAAAGTGACCAACTGTGCAGCCAAAAAAGGCACTGGGGGACAATCCTGCTACATGATGGCAGAGAAAGTGATGACTTCATACATGGCAGATGATGTTCCTCACTAGGTTTGATCACAGAATTGATACTTATGACAATGAAGATTTTAAGTTCTTACCTGTTCTTTTATTTCTGTCCACATAACAATACTTGATTTCAAAATCTTTAAGTAAGTAATGGATTTCCTGAAAAAGAAAAGCACAAGTGACATCAGATAAATAATTCACCAGGCCAAATTAATGTATAAATTCATCTTCATTAAAAAAAGGAAAAGACAAGAAAATGCCACAAAACAAAACCAAAACCTTTCCCAATAAACAGACAAACTCACCACAGAAACACTACCAAGTATTTGTTTTTAATAGAGCTAGTTATACTCCTACAGCAAGGTTTTATTGCATATAAAAAACTGGCTTACTGAACTTGATCAATTTACTTTTCATTATAGAAAGTCACATAAGCACAACAGAGTGTCCCATTTGATTGCCTTTTGATAAAGACAAATACCATCACAGTTCATCAACCAGTAATCCTCCAATTTCTCCAAAGTACAGCTAGCATAGTTAAAATACCATACAGACAAGAAATACCAGCAACATCACATCATGCAGCCAAGGGCAGGCAACACTGCCGGAATATGTGACAGATGCTTTAGTTTCATCTAACTGCTCAAGTTCACTTTAACAGATTTTCACTCTTTTAATAATGAATATTCTTTCAATCAGCAGATAATTGTGCCCAGAATTCCCCCCTGTAAAGTATCCTCTATCAGTTACTGCACAGATGCTCAACAAAGAATCCATCTCAAGGGCATTATTTGCTCCCACTAATTAATGGGGAGAGAGCAGGGGTGTGGGAGGGGTGGGACAGAAGCTAGTCTAAGAGGTATGTACCAGTTTGCTATAGGTACTCCTTAACAAGAGCAAGACATACTCACATGAGTTGATATACATATTGTTTTAGCTGGACAAATCCCATACACAACAGCAAAAAGTCCATTTGAGCAAGGAAAATAACCAGTTTTGTCTGAAAGTTTAATTGCAGACAATTTCCAGTAGTCCCATCTACTTGCCAGTTTGCTAATTCAATATCTACAGCCCAGAGGTTAACCAGGTTCTCCATGACTGGTATCAAGTGCATACCTTTTAGTCAAGAAACACCAATCTCTAGTTTCACTACTTAACAGCTGTCAAATACAACATTAATAAAATATGGCAGCTTTTCTCAAGCTACCAGCCCTCCTTTAATCAGATGCAATAAGGATGTTTTCTGAAAAGCAAAATACAGCAGGCATGACTCAATGACTCAGGTCAGGCAGGTGATCTGACTCTGGGCCTCTATCTAACAAGAATTAGATGGAAGATCTTTCTCAGTAATGAGAGACTGAGAAGACACTTTCTCCACAATTTTGTACAGCTCAGCAGTACTGAGGCACTGAAGACTCTAAAGAAGTGACTTCTGTCCCCCCTTAAAAAAAGGGGAACATATTTACCTATTAAATTTCCTGTATTATTTTGCAAGAGTAACACTGAAAGTTTTATATTATGATTAAGTAGCAGGAAGTATTATTTCAAGCAGCTCTGAACACTCTTTTGAAAGTCATCTGTGGATCAGATGATTCCACATGATTTCCCAGCAACTGTTTGAAACTTTATTTGAGAGGGGGAACAGCCTACAGTGAACATATCTTCATGGGATAATCATGAGGTCTCATGTAAAAAATTATGAGAACATCAGGAAGATTTAAAATTAAAACCTAATTTAAGCAAAGCAATTTAAAAAAAGATTTTAAGACCTATTTCCAGTTTGTGGCAAACACTGCCTGGTTTGTGCAAGAAGCTCTCTCAGGATGATGTTTGTTCTTGTGCCTTCGTGACCCCTGTGGCAGAGCTGAGACCTTTCCCTGTGGAACTGGGTTTGTGTAGCATTTCAGGGAAGGCATTTTTCACATACAGACTGTTTGTGACAATTAACAAAAACACAACACACTATATAAAATCTTAAGCAAATGTATAGTCCTTCAAACTAAACACGTATGTAAATCTCTGGGTACATTAGACTAAGATTCTTCAAAACATTTTTAAAATTACTGAGCCAGCTTTTGAACTCAGGCACTTTTCTAAACTTCACCTCCAACGTCTCTCAACACTTGGGTCTGTTAGAAAAGAATGAACACTACTGCCATTTTACTGTTAACAGTTGCTATTCCTGACAGCTCAGAGTAGAACTGGCAGGGAAAGCAACACTTCACCCACTGTTGGCAATGGGGTTTAGCACTGAAGAGAGTCAGCCCCTTTGGTGTAAGTAGTTGCCTGGAATTTGGGCCAGGAAAGAGT